AAAATTGTCAAGTTTTTTTTATAATCGTAATTTTCATAGTTAAAACACTGCATTATTATTAAGCACTCAAAGTATGTAAGTACTTGCTCTGAAAAAAAGTGGTATTGGTGCATCCCTATTTAACATGATGAATGGCTTTATTTTTTGTTGTTAGAATTTGTTGTGTTTAGAACAGACCTAAGTTAGTATTCCTGTATGTGCACGAAAAGTATCAGGGTTGAGAAATCATGCTCAAAGATCTGTTGAATACAAAGTTAAAAACAATGAAAAAACCTTAGAAAAAATCAACTGGACTTAGATTTCTAGATCGAAGACGTTTCACCTCTCATCCAAGAGGCTTCAGCTATCTAAGTCCAGATAGTTGGATAGCTATCTACATCTATGTCCAATTGATTTTTTCTACGGTTTTTTCAGTTTACTATGACCTAGATGACTGAGAATCTGCACAGAAAAGTTAAAAAATCTTGCCTGCTGATATAGGCTTGTTTGAAGTCTGGTCTCATGCTGATTGCTTGTCGATACAGCAGGTCAGCCTCTTCTAGGCGTGATTCGTTGGCTCGAATCAAATTGGCCAGGTTTATGTAAACGTTCAGATGGTTAGGGGCCACACGTGTTGCATACTTCTTACCGGGAATAACCTGATGAGTGGGTAACAGAGAAGTCATTAGTCGTTGGTATTATCTGAAAAATACAGTGAAATAAAACCCTCCTGACTATCTGCACACTCTCTAGTTGGCATGTAGATGGCGGCGGCAGCTGTATGTTGACACCAGGTGCTAAATCAGTAATTGGACTGACAAAGGAGACCGTGGTATACTCATGGGATCTAAAAACACACTACCTGTATTATTTGAGATAATTCTCAAAATAAATTTATTTCACAGCAAAACATTTGTTCTAGCCAAAAATAATCATTTTAACAGAAAACAATTCATTTTTGTTTAAGCTCATTCTTAGTGTTAAAACCAAAAAGAGCTAAGAGCACTCAAGTGATCAGAGTGATAAATGAAGAAGTCTTGTCTGAAATTTCACTTAGTTCCACACAACCTATTCCAAACATTTGTGGATTGTATATGACACGGTGGTGGTGGGTATTGGGTATGCTGGCCATAATGTTCACCTAAATCTTGTTATAAGGAGAAGCCATTCGCACACACTCACTCTGAGCAGTATGCTCATTCAGTTCAGCAGCCCCCCTCTCTCTATGTCTCTCTGTCATCAACACCTCCCATTTCAACTTTCCACACATTGACCAGCGTTTTGCACCCAGGAGGTGCACTCCAGTCGGTCCTTGAGAACCACAGATCAGACACTTAAATCCATGCACACTAATTAGCCCACACAATAACACATGAATGCAGTTCAGGATCAGATACCCTGCACATATCCCTATTATGTTTCAGGCATAACTGACAACAGATGAAGTCAGTGTGGCTGCTGTTACTCACACAAAGCTGCACAGGGCTCATGTTAGGGAGTAGCAACGATGTGATCTACTTTAGGGGTGTGTGATATCATATGAGATCAGGCAATATATTTGAAACTGCATACTATATGTTGATCATGCAGTGAATGCCAGACGCAGTGGCCTGATACTTGAGCAAAGATACGCACGGTCTTTACGGGATTAAGGCTGCAGGCGCCACTGCTCATATAGCTATGTAACTTTCCACCATTAACTAGTGTGTTCATAGTTCAGCTCTGCAGATCGCACAGGCCGACCTGCCTTCACCTCGTCTGAGGTAGGTTAAATACAGCTTATGGATTTGCATTAACACGGCTTTGTTCATTTTCAAACCAGAGTCAAATTTAAGGACCTCATTTAATTTTTAGTTATACTATTTCAGTCTGCTTTTAATTTTTTGCCGAGTTTCACAATATGTAGGTACTTTGATGTTTTCCATCTTGTAACATCAAACTTCTACATAACAGGTTGAGGGGTAGGGTCAATACATTCCATAACGTCATCCATAAAATAGAAGATATTTTCACCCAAAGCAGTATCAAATAGCCACAATATCAGAAACCCCTGCAGTGGAGCAAAGCCACCTCATGACAGCAAGCACACAGACTGACTTTACCTGCTCTCAGAAATAACTAAGATGCTGATTGGGACGTGCAGAGAGTATGTATTATTTACCATGGCTCATAAGCTGCTTTCACATGATGTTTTGTGTGCTCATTTGTAAACTAATTATTGCATGTGGATTTTGGTGATTCTCAATGACTGCAAAGTTAGAAAAATATTCACATAATCAAACACAAATGACGTTTCTCCTCAACCATAGTAAGGTAGACGACAAGTTACAACTTAAGCTTCATCAAACTGAGCTGTGCTCCTTGCTGGACAAACTGGTCTCTACATGTGGCCAGCTGTGAGATGAGTGCGCGGGGACTGGTCTCCAGCATGAGGACTGCTCCTTCTGATGAAAATTTGGCTGTAGCTTGTCGACCTTACTGCGGTTGTAAAAGGGGCCGTTTTAACAACGTTTCGCTTATGGCTTATTGATGCAAGAACTTGGAAACTTTCCAACGTTACTGAAACTTTGGCAGTGTCTGTTGTCAACACCCCCCCGTACCCCTCGGGGCATGCTGTAATTCACATCCTGGGTAGTGGGCTACTAGCGTGTAATGTCAAAAATCCGCGAGTACTCCTGTATAATAATTTTAAATGTTCCCACCCCTAATAATAAGATACCTGTGGCATGAGAGATTTGGCAACCAAGTAGGCGTCTTCTGCCTCTTTGGACTTGTTCAAGTTCTTGTAGGTTCTTCCAACATTCATGTGAGCACCAATGTCATCTGCAGAAACCGTGTATGGAGTATAAGGAAAGGAAACAGTGAGGGAAAGAAATAATAATCACTTTTACCTCAGCTGCTCTTATTTTCCACTGTATTTTCAACAAGTTTTCCACTTTGCTTCATTTTAACATTCCACAAATAAACCTACTAATACACAGTATAAATAATAAGAATTAATAATAATTGTGTATTTCAGAATGAAGCTATGCTTTGAGGAGCCTAAAAGGAAAACAAATCCTACTGGGAACCAGTAAAAAAAAACAAAAAACAGAAGTGTTGCGAGGGGTCAGTCAGGTGACGCAGAACTGATGCTTTTTGATTAGTACAGCAGGAAGTCCTCTTCAGATTAATGTTTACTGTTAATCTTGGGGAAACACTCTTGGGTGGTGAACTGGCAAAAGTGTTGTCATCTCAGCTGACAACAAGCTTCCTGAAAACTAAGCTGTGAAGCTAAACAGGAATGCTGAGTGGCCTAACCTGCGCTAACTGCGCATTTACATATTTTAGTGAAATGCACAGTAAGTTTAGTAAAGGCTTGTCAGGGGCACGCAGTCGTGTGGACAGAAGTTTCTGGAGAGTGAAGCGAGGATCCAAAACAAACATGAACATAAAGCTCTGGTCCTGTAGTTGAATTAGTCCAGAGGAGTTTTTCTGTTATGTTTTGACAAGATTAAGTGTTAATATATAAGCATGACACAGTTTACTTCTAACAGTTATCAATTTCATCACCTCTGAGGTTCCTCCTAAATCAACTAAATGTAACTGAGTTTAATTGTACTCATTAATACCCCTCCATGTTCAGTGGCACCCCATTTTCCACAGTCTAAATGGAAGTTGTTTTTGATTGTTATTACTTCCTTGGTTTTGTAATAATTAGGTCTTCTTTGAAATTGTTTGTCAAAGGTCCTCTTTTACTGTAGTTTACATTTTCCCTGTCCATTTTCTTGTTCCATTGTGGACCACAGGAAGCTTAGCAAATGCATGAGCGGGGTCTATTAGTGAACCGTGAACAATGAACAATAGCATTTGGTGGCCAGTTTCAAGAATGTGGTTGCTTCGTTCACATGACATAAAACCCTTCACTAACAGAGGGTGGAATCATTAACAGAAGCACTTTACACAACAATATCCCTGCAATTTTGCAATGTAGATGATAGTACAATGTCTTGAGTTGTTAGGCCCAGTGGATTATACAGTTTTTCAATTTTTGTGACTGAGGTAGCAACCACATGTTGCAGTGAGACCTTAGTCATTTTACTGTAGTGCAATTTGCTTTATGTATACTTAAACACATTGGGAAACCCAAGCAGACCCTGAAAAAGGTTTGAAAAGAGTGTCTGCTTAGCAGCTCAGTAAATTCAAAAATAACCCACTGATTTAAATCAGCACCTCTGACAGTCTTAAAAATGGTTCACCTCATTAGATTGTGACAGGCGATAAATTATTGAACCCCACTGAAAACAAAACATTAGGAATCACAATATTACTGTATCATAATATTCCCTTTTACCTTTTTAGGAAATAATCAGACAAACCCCAACAGAATTTTTTCCATTACATGCACTTAACAGTCAAACCTTTTGACACATTTTGCCATTCAATTCAGTGGGAAAGTGTGTCCAGACTTTTGACTGGTAGTGCATGTAATGAAACAAATTCTGTGGGATGATGACTGTTTAATGGTTTCTAAATGCTTTATTTATGTTTGTTACCTGGCTGGACACGGGTTGCCTGCAGGAAATACTGCAGTGCTCTGGCATAGTTGTTCTGGTTCTCTAAAGCGTGGCCAACATTATTCCACAACTTGGCATTGTTCCCGTTGACCTGCAGTAGCAGACAATTTCAGAAACTTAACATTAGGCTCATTTTGTTTTGTAAAAGTTTGATTCATCATTATCATTTAGAAAAGATGTCATCAGATTGTTTAACCTCCCAATGATAAAAGATTTGAATAAATATTTGTTCAAACACTGGAAAATGGCCAGGATACACCAACAGCTTGGGCTAAAATACTCTGGAAATGCTGAATTAATTGTCTCTCCACCTTACCTTCAAGGCAGAGGTGAACAGAGTATATTCTGACTCCCAGTCCCAGTTCCTGTTGAAGGTTTTCACTGCATGTGTAGTTAAAAGCACTCCAATCATCAACCAGGACATCTTCTTCAAATGTCTAGGAAGAAAAGGTTGGTATGGTAACACAGTAAACTAAAGATCAAATTGCTCACATTTAACATCGCCAGAGAACCTCTGAGTAGTATAAGGATGCACTACGGTCTTTATATTAATAGCAGTAGCTTTTTTCAAATATAATGTCTATGCCTCATTTAAAAAAATAAAGGACAAAGGTGCAGCCCCTTCAAAATTGGAGTAACTCTTAACAATATGACAACAGTTGCCTTTTGTGAAAAAATGGGTTCACAGGAAATTGTGTTATTCATGTTACCATAAGGAACAGGGATGTGTGTTTTGTTTTGATTGTTTGGCATAATAGACAAAACTTTTACTTTTTAAAACTAGGTTATAAGGAGGTTCAGGACAAGCACTTACCCTTTATGTGAGACCATCTTGAATCCATGTGCAACAAGCACACAGAAGCCCATACTAGGCACATAAAGCACCCTCTCTGCCACAACAAAGCCCACAGGGAAGAAAAGGTTGGATGCAGGAATAAAAGGCAAGACGATCAAAGACAGTGCCTTAAAGAGAAAACCAAAATAAACACCTAAGTCCGTATGAGCATGAGTCTTGTAACTACATAGTCAAGAGATCTTGCTTAAACATGTCACAGCCATGCACACGATTAAAAAAAACAAAACAACCTAGTCTCTAACAAAAGGTCAGGTGTGGCAAGTGCCGACGTAGTACGATGTTTCAGTGACTAAATAAGATATGAAGGGGGCTTACGGGGCAACCTAGAGTTGATCAGTGTCGGCATGTGTGACATGAGCTGACACTGTAGGTAGTGCCTCCTCCTGCACAGACTAGAGCCTGAGGGTTTGTCATTAGAGCAGTATAAAGAAACCACAATCCAAGGTTTATGCTGTGATATAGTTATTGATAGAGTTATTAAACAGTGTCTCACAGGGGAAGTTAGACACTGGCATGGTAATTGAGGAGTTGCTTGCATTCTTCTTTCTAAAGCTTGATTTATGGTTCTGCGCTGAATCTACACAGAACCTAGCTGTAGGCTACAGAAGTGGCCTACGCCATTGTATTTATAGTTGTGCACCGGTGTGTCTGTGCCACCCTGCAATTACACCAACCAAATGCTAGTTGGCAGTGGGGTTTCTATGCCGCTGTGTTGCATTTCTTCACCACTTACAAACAATGGTGACTGAAACTGAGCCAATCATGCTGGAGTTAAAATGAATAGATGTTGAACAGCAGTTACATTTATTGAAATTACTGCAACTCAGATAAGAGAGAAGACGTGAGAGGAGATGGTCATACAGACCATCTCCTCCCACTGAACCAAGTGAGGCAGAATGAGGGGGGATTTCCTATGCTTGTCTAGCCACTGAGACGCATGAGTGAGGAAATGTGATACAACCAGTCACTTGTCATCATCTGTGTCACCACAATGTGCAGTTGTAGGCTATGGCGTAGGGGTCGCTCCACGTATTAATTTAAAGTAGGTTAAATCTAATTCATTGTAGTGCTGTACATAGCGCATGTATTACTCTGTATTAGTCCCACTGTGCCCCGCTCTATTTCTCTCACGGACAAACACATGTCAACGAAATGTCTGTGAACAGCTCCTGCTCTTTGTGTGTTTTTTTTTTTTTTTTAAGACAACGCTTCTTATATGTTATCAGCAAGTTAATGAGGCTAGCTAAGCTAACGTTAGAATATAGCTGCTGCCGAGGTCAACACACTGCATATAGCATGGATGAATATGGACCACTCTGCAAGTGGATAAAGTTAATGGTAGTTCCTAAACTTGAACCTGAATGTTTGCCTCCTCAGTCCGGGGGAGTATCAAAAAACACACATGAGAAAGCTGATCAGTCTGATCACTGTGATTAGTGATCAAGCTGATTTGTTTTGAATATTTATTGGTTTCAACCAGTGCTGCTGAAGCAGCAGGAGAGGGTCAGGAAGAGAGCGATGTAGGAGGAGGGCAGCAGCCAACATACTGCTGATGGGGAGAGCTCGTGCAGAAGGGACATGGTAGGAGAAGGCAGTCTAGACTGGTGGTTCTCAATGGATAACTATCATCTAAAACAATGTCTCACGTGCGCTATTTAAGACAGCTGGCAGCCTTGTAATGATGCTAAGTAGGTTGATGTGGTCTGATATTGTTATGCAACATATTCCAAAATGCTCTTAGCAAACCAGAGTAAACACTGCAAAGGTCAAAACTGAGTTCATTTTGTGTTGATTTGTGGTCCCCTTTGCTGAAGCTGGAGGTAAGAACAATACTGTGAGGATGTTTACTGACCCTCAAGTACAAGAGCCATGGGACCTGTTGCACAACAGATGCTAATTTATTTCTGAGTGCTACAATGAACAGTCCCCACTCATTCATTTCTTCAGAGCTCAAGTAAAACTTGTGTTTTCTCACTCTTCATTTGCTGGCCTATTTTGCCTATTATTCAAATGCTAAATTTAAAACAATCTTGTTTAAAATTGAAATTAACTGAAAACATCCATTTCAGCTAATCAGTCTAATGTGAGTATCTTGGTAGGTGGGTGGCAGTGGGGGATGTAGCCCCTTGATTATAAATGTTTGTTGTAAAAAGGCAGGGTTTGTTTTGCAAGAGAACGACACTAAACTGGGTCTGTGGTATCTATTTTGGAGACAATGTGATTTGAATCTTTACTATGGATTAGGTACCGCGAAACTGACAGGTGGTTTTGTGTTGCAGTTGCCCCTCATGTTGGGCATCAAAATGGGGGGAGCAATGCTGCAGTTTCTTAATTCAACAACAAGTTCCAGAATCTCGTAGTGTTCTCCCAAAGAGGGTACAAGATTGGGTGGCCATATGTAACATTGTTTTATCTTCCCATAACATCTCATGACAACATTGGCCACATATTGATTCTTGTGACATCAGGATCAGCACACTCTGTGTGTAAATCGTACATGCTACATGAAAATGCATTTCAATAATCTGACCAAACATCTCACCATGATGACAGTCCTGGCAGAGCTGTGTCTGTGGCGCAGGCTGTGGTAAGCTAGCAGGCCCAGAAAAGTGTAGAACACCAGCGTGGCCAGGTTACGGAGGTCTAGGAGTGACTCCACCAGAGGGATGGTGCCCATAGTCCAGTCACAGCAGAGCTCGGAGGGATTCAGCAGAAGCCATGCATTCACAGGAAGTAGGTAGTTGAAAGTCAGTTGTCTAGTGGGAGTGGGGCTGACTGCTGCAGGGTTATCGAATCTACGAGAGGATGCAGAGAAGAAAAAAGTTAGACTGACAAAGCATGGATGGATAGAGGAGGTGTGGGTAAAAATAAATGTGAGAAATACAGTTGGTTCAGAGAGCATTCAGACCTGTTCACCTTTTTGCACACTGCAGTGTTTTGTAGATTAATTTTAAATTAATAAAATTGCCATTTTGGCCCATCGTTCTGCATTTACAAAGTCACAATGTGCTACACTATGTGCCACAAAAAAATTATGGACCTGTTAGTCACATTAATCCGCTGCAGCAAGTCAGAGGCCATTAGGAGACTTTGTACTTTCATCAAATAAAAGACATTATGTAAACTGTTACATAATCTGAAATAAATAAAGAACCAGACTAGTATAATGTGTTTATATAATTCTGCACTCCATTGAAATCTTGACTTTGACTTTCGCTGCCCTTTAGTATCTACAAATGTTTCCTTTTGTGCAGATAAGACACAGCAGCTGTAGAGCTACTGTTTTAAAACTACTTTTTAGAAACTGATCCAAATCAAACATTCAACTATGACATACTAAAAGCTCATTATTAATATCCTAAAATTAATCACAATAGTCATTTAATTTATTGGTTTTAGTCAAGTTTCATCAAAACTAAGGACATTTTAGTCTCATTTTTGTGCAGCGTTTTTATATTTACATCTTTTAAGCAGACTGCCGCTGTCACCATCTTTGAGTACAGTTACTATAGTAACTGGTGTTGTTCTGATTGATATTGTAAAACAAATCCATGTGGTTGACCGACAGGGTGAAAAAGCTTTAAAGGTGGTCAGACTGTGATGCAATTGAAGTAGCATTTTGTTGCCACTGAGGGGGTGATGCTGTTTACCTGGTGAAGACAGGAAGCTGGGACTGGATGACCTGGACCCTGATGATGACGAGCAGCAGGGTGCTGATAACAAGGACTATGAGCTTCAGCAGTGTTTGTAGGAGAGCATAGGGGAAGCTGCCTTTACCCTGCAGGACTTGTCGCAGTGTGTCCAATAGCATGGGCAAAGTAAACTGAGAGTAGTAACAGGAGAAAGACAGAAAGGAAGGATCAGCTCAGCATTGTAGAGTAACAGGTTCCTCCTTTCAGATTTAAACTGTACATTTTTAATTCCTTAAATGACTGAATGATTTTTGCCTTAAGTTTTTGACAGAAAATATTTTTAAGAGCCAAACATTTATCAATGTTTAATGACCAATAAAAACAAAGAGTGGCTGAGTTTAGGGAGCTTTACTTACCCCTTGTGCAACAAATACTTCATGGACACAGCAAATGCCAACAACAGTGATTCCCTGCTCTTTACACAGTGTTGCTGCAGCGACTAGAATAACTGTCAAAGCAATGGGAGCCCAGACTGGAAAAAGAACAAATAAGTCAATCTGTATACAGATTCTCCTAATCCAAATGATACATCAAACCCTTTGCTTTGCAGCCCACAGTATTAATGGAGTGTTCGTGCAAACTTCATGAACCCGTAAGGGCGAGAAATGTCGTATAATCTGACATCTGCACACACTGATCGCTGGTAAAACAACATCTGAATTTTACTAGAGCAATAAAAAAGCCACTGCTGTGTGAAAAATAATGGAAGTCAGATATTAACCCCCGAGTTTTCTCCTGTTTGTGGGGTGGATGTTAATTGCAGGACATTACAGCAAAACAGAGGTTGTAAACATATTTTCCATTAGCCCAGAACTATTTGACAGTCATCCATCATGTGGTTAAATGAAACATCACAACTTGTCATGTAAACACCATTATGGAACTTATTACCATGTCCTAGTGTTACTAGAATGTGTTTCTCTTTATTGCCCAAATTGCCATTTATGACAAATTATCCTGGTCGTAAATTAAATATCTGATTTTGTGATTTAACGAGAACTGTGTAAATGGACCATTAGTTATAGTCTCACTGAGGTTAAACCATCTAATTAGAGAAGGAAACAGGTTCAACCTGGAGGTCTTTCAAAGAATTCAGCCTCAGAATTGGGACAGAGCCTAAAAGAGCTGCCAGGTGCCGGAGGAAACCCTGATAGCAGACCAAGCCAAAGAATGAACAAACTGCTTTACATTTACATGTCTGATGTAGAGTTAAAAAGAAACTGCAGACATTGTAGAGTCTGGGGTAATTTAATAATAGTACTGCAATCACACAGTTTGTACAAGAGGGTATTACCAAACTTATTTACATAGAAGCACAGAGAGCTTGTCAGTTGCATCTGACAAAACAGATGTGTCCCTTTTAAATCAATCCAGCTGTCTATGCCGGGCATGTAATAACTCTTACTGTATCCGAGCATTTTATTCACACTGTATCCCTGTAAATGCAACCCATAGGTATTTTTACATGTTTTCTTGCATTTATTCACATAACTACAGGGGCTTGTGTGTTGGCTCTGAGCACTTTTAAAATGTGGTTGGCCTAGAACTCAGTACTGTGCCACAACACCTCCTGTGCAGACATGCACAGAGATACAATATGCCATCTGTAGACACTGCATAAGTTATCGCTCTCAGTACTTCTAGGTCATGTTCTTTAATAACATAATTTAAGGGATCCTTATCAAACATACTTACAAAAGAAATATCTGCTGAAATATCAATCTGATTTGCTATAGTTAGAAATTGCCAAGTCATAACTTCCTGTTGATGCGTTATGTTGAAATGTAAAAGAAGGCTGACGCAGAACTACAGCGACTCGGTGTGAATCCAGTGAAAAACCTAGAGGCCATTATTACAGATGTGTGTGGCACGTATACAGTAACTTAAATTAATAGGCACTAATGTGTTGTGGCAGAGAAATTCTCCTCGAGGTGGAGTTACTGAAACAAATACACATACTGGTGCATTTGAGGAAAACGTGCCCCACCCTTTGAGTATGTGGTTTAGAGCAAGGAAAAGCACAAATTACAGCAAATATAGGTGCAGCTGCATCGGAATGTCAACACTGAACACTGCAACAGTGTAAATATTTTAGTAAACTGTAAGAAGAAACAGGTATGTTATAATATTGGATATTCCATTTGTATTATTATGCAAAGCATCAAATACCTATCAAAATAATTAGGGGAAAATTTTTACTGATTTTTTTTTTTCTTTTATGTCACCCTAGACACATCTGGGCTTAGTATCCTGTCTTTAATGTTTGCAATAATGTCTTAGAAGAAGGGCACATTGAAGAAAAAAAAAGCATACATGGCGTGAACCCAGTATATCCTGTACTGTAAGTGACAGACTGGTGAGGTACATTACACTTACCAATGGAGTGATCTGCACCTGTTGATTTTGTGTAGGCCAGGAAAGCAGCCAGGAGAAAGATTGAGGAGAGAAGTTCAGCTCTGCCAACCACACCTGTGACCTGGTGATAAACAGTGATAGCAGTTAGTATTTTGTTCTTTTTATATAGATTTTGCAAGTGCATTTCTTAAAATTTATAAAACTGCAAAAATAGTGCATCTTCATACAGATTTAAAACATGACTTTCCGGATTAGAGATACTTTATGAATGTCATATCACAGCAGATGCCAAGCAGATAAGCATCTCAATAAAGCAGGCTGATAGTATTGTCTGTCATTTGTGTAAATAATGACTGCCCTCATGTGGAAGAAATAACATTCTCGCATCTACCATAACCAAAGGCCAGAGTCCTTAGAAGTACACATACCCTGAAGCCACAGATAAGACCCCACAAATAGTTCTGCAAAGCATTTTACTAAGTTGTCTAGTGTGCATCCCTTAAGATATCATTAAACATTACATGAGGGTTACAACTTCCTAAAAGTAGGAATTAAAATTAAATTAAACACCGATTGCTCTGTGACTGACCAATTTATTGGTTGGTGGTTAGAACCAGCAAACAGTATAATATCACTGTGTCTTTTTGACCGGGACTGTAAATCCAAAACAGCCAAACACTGTGTCTGTGTGCTTTATTCTGTGTTTTTTAGGTTGGTTACACCGATTGTTGGAAACAGAGTAAAGAATGGCATTACCCAAGTAAGTCTAGATCTAGTTTATGCTGCTACTTACCACCATGGTCTTAATAAGTTTGTCTGCTCTAATTTGGTCACATACAGTACCTTGCGAAAGTATTCGGCCCCCTTGAACTTTGCGACCTTTTGCCACATTTCAGGCTTCAAACATAAAGATATAAAACTGTAATTTTTTTGTGAAGAATCAACAACAAGTGGGACACAATCATGAAGTGGAACGAAATTTATTGGATATTTCAAACTTTTTTAACAAATAAAAAACTGAAAAATTGGCCGTGCAAAATTATTCAGCCCCCTTAAGTTAATACTTTGTAGCGCCACCTTTTGCTCCGATTACAGCTGTAAGTCGCTTGGGGTATGTCTCTATCAGTTTTGCACATCAAGAGACTGAAATTTTTGCCCATTCCTCCTTGCAAAACAGCTCAAGCTCAGTGAGGTTGGATGGAGAGCATTTGTGAACAGCAGTTTTCAGTTCTTTCCACAGATTCTCGATTGGATTCAGGTCTGGACTTTGACTTGGCCATTCTAACACCTGGATATGTTTAGTTTTGAACCATTCCATTGTAGATTTTGCTTTATGTTTTGGATCATTGTCTTGTTGGAAGACAAATCTCCATCCCAGTCTCAGGTCTTTTGCAGACTCCATCAGGTTTCCATCCAGAATGGTCCTGTATTTGGCTCCATCCATCTTCCCATCAATTTTAACCATCGTCCCTGTCCCTGCTGAAGAAAAGCAGGCCCAAACCATGATGCTGCCACCACCATGTTTGACAGTGGGGATGGTGTGTTCAGGGTGATGAGCTGTGTTGCTTTTACGCCAAACATAACATTTTGCATTGTTGCCAAAAAGTTCGATTTTGGTTTCATCTGACCAGAGCACCTTCTTCCACATGTTTGGTGTGTCTCCCAGGTGGCTTGTGGCAAACTTTAAACGACACTTTTTATGGATATCTTTAAGAAATGGCTTTCTTCTTGCCACTCTTCCATAAAGGCCAGATTTGTGCAGTATACGACTGATTGTTGTCCTATGGACAGAGTCTCCCACCTCAGCTGTAGATCTCTGCAGTTCATCCAGAGTGATCATGGGCCTCTTGGCTGCATCTCTGATCAGTCTTCTCCTTGTATGAGCTGAAAGTTTAGAGGGACGGCCAGGTCTTGGTAGATTTGCAGTGGTCTGATACTCCTTCCATTTCAATATTATCGCTTGCACAGTGCTCCTTGGGATGTTTAAAGCTTGGGAAATCTTTTTGTATCCAAATCCGGCTTTAAACTTCTCCACAACAGTATCTCGGACCTGCCTGGTGTGTTCCTTGTTCTTCATGATGCTCTCTGCGCTTTAAACGGACCTCTGAGACTATCACAGTGCAGGTGCATTTATATGGAGACTTGATTACACACAGGTGGATTCTATTTATCATCCTTTGTCATTTAGGTCAACATTGGATCATTCAGAGATCCTCACTGAACTTCTGGAGAGCGTTTGCTGCACTGAAAGTAAAGGGGCTGAATAATTTTGCATGCCCAATTTTTCAGTTTTTTATTTGTTAAAAAAGTTTGAAATATCCAATAAATTTCGTTCCACTTCATGATTGTGTCCCACTTGTTGTTGATTCTTCACAAAAAATTACAGTTTTATATCTTTATGTTTGAAGCCTGAAATGTGGCAAAAGGTTGCAAAGTTCAAGGGGGCCGAATACTTTCGCAAGGCACTGTAATGTTTAAAAAGTCAAGGATGATACATTTTTAGGGCAGAATACAGTTAGCTCAATCTGGTTGCATTACTACAGATCCTCTTTTCTCTGTCCTTCAGCCTGTACTGTACTGAGGCACAGCTTCTCAAAAACTGCTGGCTTTCCTCTGTTAGGTATTTTTAGTCAGATAGAAATTGGATAGATACTTTATGTATTAGAAATGTTTAGTGGAGATAGGATGTCTAGTTAGACTGTTAAATGCTTAGGCATGCTTATGAGTTTCTACAAGGTACATCTGGTCAAGGATATTAGGGAGAAAAGTTGATGACTGTCAGCAGACAGGGTGTTTAATATTATTATTACGACGTGTATAACTGTAGCCTTAGCCATAATATGTTCTTATGTTTAATATCATGACATGTTACTAGAGGTCGTGAGAATGTTTTTAGCTACACACCACTTAATCAACAGACACACACACACATTCACACGTTGATTTGCTTCATGCTTTGACTACTGTTATGGCCAGCTGCAAGGCTGGCAACAGACGTCTCGGCTGACGTTTCTGTGTAGTATGGGGCTAGCCCAACCGAGGGGATATAATGTATAGGCCTGGTGGGTTCAGGGTCTTTCATCTTACATCTGCCTGCGAGCAGTTTGGGGGTGCAAGATACCTGAGCATGTAATGTTAATTTTACCTGTGATCCTTTGAATAAATCAGCACTGTTTTGAAGTTACTTGAACTGTCTCGTCTCTCAGAGTTAGCAATGGTAAGAAGAACCAAAGAGTCTTACACCTCCTAATACCATTTTAGAGCCTTAATATAATGTTGTGGAGTACACTAAATACTTTGTATGTGAAGATACTTGGAGATGCTAAAAAAATGGTCTCCTTTCAAAAAGACAGATAACCAAAAAACAGTGAGAAAGATATAGGGACACAGAGCCTCTTTGTATGTGTCTATCATGAAGGGACCTATAGTGCTCTGAGCACAAGTCAAAAACAAATGATTCGTTCAGAGAGAGATTCCACATGGCGATAACACCAAGGGCATTTGCTGGACTAACTCTAAGGGCTCATTTGTGAGGCAAATTGTTTCCATTCAAGAAGTCTGAGAGCGCCTGCATAGATTAGTGAATAGTGGTGCATGCTGTGTAACAGTAGCACTCCACCCTGAGTAACTCAATGTTTTCTTCGACTCTGCTCATGGCCTGTCTGGTCATCAATTCAGCTATGGTGAATAGGATGAATTACAGTTCCTAGTTGGGGGAGAGGCTTTTCAGACAGACCCTACAGAAGAGAATGAGAATGACATCAACTTAACAATAAGCAAAAGGTTTTGGTTTCTACTTAAATTTAGTCAATTCCAATAAATGTGGACCCGATAACCTCCATGATAAACAGCTGCAACAACTAACATTTGATTTTAAAAAGAATCTTAGTTGGGGAAAAAAATAAACGAGTTTTTAAAGATCCCATGGCGCTTTTCCTGGTTTTTTGACTTGTCTACAATGTTAAAACAGTGAATTCTCATCTTAGACGTGACATTGCCTTGTACTTGTACATGGGTAATGACAAAGTTGAACCTAATTTAACATAAAGCTCAAAAAATTAGGTGTACATATGTTCTAGTATTTCTATGCAGAAGCGGCTCGGTTTATACATGTCTTGCGAACTCTCGCTCACAAGACTTTTTTTTCTAGCAAAATAAAGCATTACATGAGTTTAAGGATTTCCTTGAATGGTCTGAGGTTACTGCATGTCCCGGAATGTTCCTGTAAAGGGACTTGCTATTTTACCTGACTGGGTCTCACCTACAAGCAGCTGGCCAGTGAAGCCCCTGCAGCGGTTAGTGATCAGCTCATCAGCGCTGGATTTCACTGGAGCACAGTACCACAGTACCACAGTTTGTTTTGACTGCTTGAGGCCAGTGTGCCCGCCGCATGAGATGTGTTTCTGGTTAATGAGCGGATTAACAACCCATGATTTATTGTCGGTGCTACACTACATTTCACTGTTTTGGGACTGTATGTGGTCGTGTGGGGGAAGACACAGCTACCACCGGTTGGATTTACCAACCTTTGTAGCTATAATAGATTAAATATGGACATCTTCACTACTTAGATATAAAGCATCTTGCTGCAAATATGTGAAATTACTGTTTAGAGACCTATTTGTATGTGATACACATCTTTGCATACCATACTTTGAACCACATGCCACCTTTGGTGGAAGTGTGTGTAGTTTGTATTTGCTGTGTTTTTTTAGCATGAGTTGGATACACTGTACATATACATGCATTTCATGTGTAGCCAGTAGTTCTCCAATTGTCTACTATTTGCTGGAGATTTCGACAGTTTTCCTTCTCCAAGGTGTTTCTGTAGGTTTCTCTGTGGGCTGTTTGTACACCAAGCGCTTCCAATGTGCAAGTGCCCAGTACAGACAGGAGCACGAGTCTTGCTCAAGGTGCACACTAGATGCTACACACTGCAAACACTGCACTTTTGGTTTGTACTACTGTGTGCATGATGTGGACTGTTGTGCCTCTAAATCTGATCAGTACAGAATTGGAAATCCATCAGTGATCAGCCGGTTACGGTCAATGCTGATCACGCTGAAAACCAGCTACTTCCGATCTCCGCTGATCAATTGATGCATCTCGAGTCTGAATATGGTGCCAGTTCCCACAGACAGAGCTGGTGGGCATGTTGGAGCAGTGCTGATGTGGTGATCTTACAGCTGTGTTTACAAGTGATTGCCTAATTCCACTCCAACTTGAGGTTCATAACAGACAATGCTGTTGCACTGTTCAGCTATCGAGTCCTTGAACTAAGGATTATCTAGGTATAATGCCTGGCTTGAAACATACCAACAGTGTTTTGTTTTGCATAATGTTACCCTAGTTATGCTCAAATGGAGGATAACACTCGCGAAATATGCACTGTAATGGTTTCTGTGGCCGATGACATTGCAAAACCACCTGTCTGTTGCTTATAGCCTTAGCATTTCTCCAATATTCCTTTGTAGTGTGGTGGGGCATCACTTGGTGAAAGGACTTCCATTCAGAAAGGGGCCTTACTTGGGGTTCAGGATAAAGGCTTAGCATTTTCTTCCTGTAACTGAAGAAGTCATAAAAATATCTGAACTTGAAGATTCACTTCCTAGGAAGCCATTTCAATTCAGTGCTGACTTCATGCTGCAGTTTTGGGTGTAAAGGTTCAACCAATAAACCTTTAATTTATTCTCTATAACTAATGCCCCATTAATTTACACTTGAAAATGATCCATCACTGATGTTCTACGGGAAATAGGCTTCATCACATTAAGGAAATAATGACACCGTTACTTTACAACCAAAGTCCAATAGATCAGTTTAACATGGCAATAGTCTACTGTGATTTTAGTTAGTCCTTTTAATCTTAATAAAAGTTGGGGTTTTTTTTGGCAATAACATAATTACATAATTTGCCTTCACCCAGTAAATGTAGACTTACAGCTTCAGTGTGGATGGGGTGTACAGCAAACAGCAACGCTGCTACCAAGCTGGAAGTCTTGTCCAGGAACAATCGGCACACTCGCAGAAAAAGCACACATACTGTGGCGTGTAAGACCACATTGAGCAGATGATAGGATGCTGCACTCAGCTCACTGAAGAGGTAGTTCAGTCGAAAGGTGAGTACAGTTAGGGGTCGGTAAGATTTATGGCTCCGCTCCTGTAGTGGGACATATTTATGCATGTCAGTTGGGAGAGAATAAAGGCTGACAAATGTTTAGTGGAGCTTTGGAGTAATTCTTCAAATTAACCTCAAAATGAAATTAATCTGTGGAAGTTGCAAGTGAAAAGTTTCACTAGATATAACATGCATTTTATTGGCCTAAAAACTGCCCATAAACCAAACCACCTTTGAAACGAAATAGAAATGTTTGAGAGATACCATTTAAACTTTTATCACTAATGTTATTTTTCTAAGTGTAAACTAAAGGAAGCCTGTATACTGCCATCACTGCTTACCTCAGCCATGGGTGTTCCCCAGAAGTCATTGAGGAATAGGTTGTGGAGAGGGGTCGATGGCCGTAGGTCCTTGTTGTCAAGGATCGCTGAGACATCATCAAAAACAAAGCCGCAGGACAAACTGTTCCAGTAACACCCCACCACCAGTCCAGTCAAAAGTAAAATCTCCTTCCATGACACAACAGCCATGGCTAACCAAAGCCCTCATTGATTACTGTACAGGAAAACAAGGTTTGACACGTGAAAATTTGCTTTCAGGCTGTGAATGTGTAAAACGTGTACCTCGTCATGTAGACAGATTTCCTGATTGGATGGTTAAAATGCAGGTCTAGTCAATCATGTTAATGCAATTTTCCAAAGGATTTTGTATTTTAAGTTTATAAACAGTGTTTAACATTGTTACTCTTAAGTTGCTTCCTTGTCACAATACTCTCTCTCATTTAATCACACTTAGAATACTGCCACCCTTTTATTTACTGGGCTGCGAATTATAATTTGGGGTTATAATTTTCAGCTCCACAACAAACTAATAGTTCACATGCTGAAAATTAGACTGTCTACCAATCGATCTGCCACACTGACAGCTGAGGGTGTAATGGTACATTGGCAACTATCTAAAACCATTACCAGCGAATATTACCCTGGCTAAATGGCTATCTAATTACAGCGGTTGGTTAAATGAATAAAACTGGCACTGTTATGGCTCGATCGTGGCAATATAAGAGATCAGTCTTTAACAGCATGTTCTGACCACTTCCGACGGGCTGCTTCAACATAATGTTAGCTAGCGATACAGCTAAATTAGCAGCTAATGCTAACTAGCTTGATAGCAGTCTTTAAGCCAGATAAGGTGGTAACAGATGTGTTGTAGTTCTTTCTTGAATTTCCTACTTACCGTGTCTAGAACTAGGCAGACAGTGACTATAGCGGTGAAATAAAAAAAAAAAAAAAACCGGGGTAGTTACGCACATACAGATTCAGACACACTTGAGTAATCGAAATTCCACTTGTATAGGCTAGCGTTAATGCATCACCATGATCACTTCCGGTGCAGAGGTAACCACGCATGTTCAGTGTTAGCTAAGATAAGGCTTTGCCTTTTTTTTGTAACTAAACTCGGGTGTATGAGTTCGAAACTAAGTTAAAAAGTGGGCGTTTGAAATATTTCTTTTAACGTTACAGCTGTTGTGCTGATGCAGTTTCGTAAACCTTTTCTGCAAGAGTCCTTTCGCCGCTTTTACTCGTTTTTTTTTTCTGGTGGGCTAGCGTAATTTGTTAGTGTCAAGTGTTGCTGTTGTCAGCTGTAACTTAGCAGCCAAAGCATCACACCATGGATCCTCAGGATGCCTCTTTACTGTCATTTTAACTTGTTTGTAGCCTAACTATGTCCTCTAACATATTTAATCCATTTTACTGAGCGAGGTAAACTGATAACAGACGTGAATTAGCCAGTGTTTAGTTGGCTAATTCACGAAAACGAGTGGAGTTGCTCGGCTTTCAATTTATTGTAGTAGTTTGTGAAATAGCTACCAGCTAACGTACAGGCAAATTCAAATAGCTAATCTGATAGCGTTAATACAAAGAATAAGGCACACTATGATTAACACAGCAGTCTTTAGTCACAGCTTCCCAACTATAGTGAGCTAGCCAACAACTAATACTGTGTTTTTAGCGCTCCTAGTTAAATCTTTACAATCACGCTATTGCAAAGATGCCTGCTGCTTTTGAGTGGGATAAAGTAACGAAAATTGACCTAGCGACCCTTGATGCACGTCCAAAAGAAAACGTGGACGAGCTCATTGGCATGTTTCTTTCGGTAATTGTCCATACTGGTTTTAAAATAATGGTGTGTGTGTGTTAAGCAGTGGCTATTGCTACAAAAGAAAAACGACCTTCTGTAGTCATTGACATCTCATGGCCATTACTTTTAAAGCCCTTCTTGAAGTTTATACATATTTAAAAGTGAGTGCTGAATTTACATCATTTCAGGAATAAACTTTAAAACCATGTTTTCCATGCAGGTAGAGGAATGGGATGTGAAGGATAAAGCTCCGGAGAAAATGATTAAAGTCCTCAAAGTCTTTCAGACTCTACTCCAGGTGTTGAATCTTTTTATTGCCATATTCCGATCTCTCCCACACACAACTAGTAAATGTCCTCCTCAATATATAATTCACATTATAGACCTTGATATCTTTATATAGGCATGTGTTGCTTGAAATATCGCATAAAAAATCATTGTAATCATTGTAGACATAATGACTTGCATCCCTTTGCCTTTTTAGCGTCTGGATAAAGAAATTGATATTCATGACAAGTTCCTCAAACAAACTGGTGCAGATCATGCTAAAATCGGTTAGTGAGCAGATAAAGTTCAGCAATAACATTTTTCTTATGTTTACATTTTGCTAACAATCAGCACTCTTTGTTGATTATGACTTTTGTCCTGTAGAAAAGGAACTCCTTTTGAAGGTGTCGAGGCTGGAACAAGAGCTCAAGGTAATGCTTTCCTCCGCCACCATGTCTGTACTGTCAGCATATACTGTCTCTTACACAGTGCCTGTTACTCACTGAGCAAAAAAAATGTGTTAATGTGTCTCACTGGGATGTATTCAAGTACCATTAAAATGTGGAAACTTACATTAATGTGTTGGAATTGAAATAACTCTTCATGCTGCTTTACCTGTGCTTCCAGCAACTGTGCCCAATCCTTTAGCCAGTCAGAGAGTAACCTTGGCCATAAAGGGATTGGTTGTGGTGAACACTGAAAGACAGCACCTAAGAGGATTAGAGATAATTTGTTGCATGCTCTCAGCCATTACTTAGTCTCAGTTTGGTTATTATTTTAATTCTTTAAGGTTTGCATGCAATCAGAATTTGTGCTCCCACAAAGTTGAAGATAATGCCTGTCTACATATGTGTAAATGGTAGTATATGCATGTAAACAGAAGTGATGGGAGACTAAAAGAAGCTTCTTGGTGGGGGTTGTTTGGGTGTTTGTGTTTCTGGTCCATATGACTTAGCACTCCGCCACTGGGCCAGACACCCGCTTTCTAAGAGATGAGATTTGGCAGCTCGAGACCCAGCTGGACCAAAGGGAGAAGGAGTTGACCCAGTTAAAGAAAGACATGGGCAAGGAAAAGACAATCAATGAGGAGGTATGAGAATAATTATTATGCATAGCGTAGGTCTATGGATTCAGTGCTCTGTCCCTTGTGTACAAGGATAGTTGTGTACAAATGTTAGTTCACTGATTTGCAAACACTGTTGTGCTGGCATGTCCTTACATGGTATTGAAGATATTTTTGTTCTTTGCTCATACAAGAGCCAGTCATGCAAACAGATTTGTTCATAAGTGGCACATATGAGAGATTTAAGAGCGTTTATGGTCTTCCCATCATTTTTTATTCATTTTATTTTTACTCGGGTTAAAACACTGGAACAAGTCTATTGCCAAGAGCAAATGTAATAAATGTTTAGTGTTTGGTGTGGTCAAATATTTAGTGTGTGTCTACATTTTGTACTACCCTGTTTTGTTTTCCAAGTTGGTTGCGCGAGCAGAAGAGGCGGAGGATGAGGTCAAGAAGCTGAAAAGAGAGGTATGTGGCAGGTGGGATTTCATCATACAGATTATAAAGCTTTCTGAAACTTTCTTTTCATTCATCACTTCATCCTCAGTCAGTACACAATGTAGTGCTATTAACTTCATTTAAAACTTGTGTGGTCTCTGCCATCGTTCGCTCATATGTTTGCTATTCTCAAATCCATCATGTCTTCATCTTCATCGCTCTGTTTTACGGTAAATGGACTGTATTTATATCCGAAGCGCTTTACAGGGAGATTATACACCATTCACCCATTCACACACACATTCACACACCGATGACAACAAGGCTGCCACACAATGGCGCTAGTCAAGCCACCGGGAGCAATTTGGGGTTCAGTGTCTTGCTCAGGGACACTTAGGCAGGCGGGGAGACCGGGAGTCGAACCACCAACTTGCTGGTCAGAAGACGACTTGCCCTACCACGTGAGCCACAGCCACCCATAGATAATAAAACTTAAGAAGAAAGTAAGGAATATAGATAGTGTAGTTAAGGAGGTTTTAGATTTTCAAAATAAGTGAGTCATATAGTTAAAAGGCCTAAGTAATCCAGTATATGGAGTACACTTTTTTTTTTTTTTTTTTTTTTTTTTTTTTTTTTTTTTTTTTATGTTGCACATAAAATAAATAAATGTAATAAATCCAGATATTTTCAATCCAAGAATTAAAAAGGCTTGAGGTGTTCCTACTGTTGTAGCAGGTGATCCTTTCCAGTATTTGGCCATCAGTGGGTATTAACATCCAAGCCGTGTATTTGTGCAGATAGTCACATAGGGCTGTCTTTAACGAATGTTTGAGTTATCATTTCAAGCTTTCAAGAATGAACCGTTTGGTCACAAAAATATTGAAAACACAAGTTTGATATCTTCAGAACTGCTTATTTGGCCAAACAACCAGTTTAAAACCTAAGATTTCAATTTACCATCATGCAAGATAAAGTAAAGCAGGAAATCATCACCTTCACAAGCCAAATCTGTTGTTTAAGTCAACTGATTAGTGTATAACCACAGGCCATTGGATTCAGTTCTTTTTCTGAGACTACTTGTGTCCTTCTTGCAACAACAACAGAATGAGCAGCTCCAGCAGGATGTGGACTTCTATCGTGGAGAGCTGGACCAAAAGGAGCCCCTCTTGTCCAGAGATGAGAACACAGAGATCCAGAGAAAGCTCAGCTTGGCCAACCGCCAGCTCTACCAGTGCTTGGATGACCTTCAGGTAAGCTATGCCCTCTGGTAAATGGGGCAAACTTGGCCAAACCATGGTTTATTTTTGAGAAATCTACAACCACTAAATACCTTGAATTAAAAAACCCTAAAATTCAACTTTTACAGCTCATGTCTTGGTTTTCATCTTTTTATTATCCATTTTTTGCACCATAGTTTTGTAGCATGTAAAGGAATGCATCAACAAATCAAGTTCATTATTATTTTGTGTCCATCAGCGAGCAGAGGATGAAAACATACATCTGAAGACACTGAGTGAGCAGATGCAGAAAAGTTTGGAGGAGTCTGTGAAGGAGATGGAGAAGATGACAGATGAGTACAACAAGATGAAGATTGTTGTACAGCAGACTGACTCCATTGTGGACCAGCTCAGGAAAGAGAGGGATCATGCAAAGCTGCAAGTAAAGATGCTCCACAGTCAACATTTTTTTACCAAAAAAGCTGGAATGTTGAAGTTGTTATGGCTCTGTAACATGATGAAATTATATATAACACACTGAATCCCTGTCTCTCTCTCTATATGTGTGTGTGTGTGTGTGTGTGTGTGTGTGTTTGATGTGCAGGTCAGAGAGTTAACAGATAAGATTCATAGCATGACTGAAGAGAATGACCCAATAATGGCAGTGGTCAATGCCAAAGTGGAGGAGTGGAAGGTGGGTGTTGATCAAATAGCCACAATGGGCAGTTTTCTGTTTTCCTATGCAATATCCATTCAGACATCACAGTTGCACAGTGAAATACAAATGTTATTACTGTGTTACAGTTTTGTTGTCTCAAACAGAAGTGTTATTGGACTAATCTGCCTAAACATCACAGTTCTTTAGAGACAGAAGTGTGCAAAAGGAACTTACCGTGTTGATTTAGATCTTGGTGCTCAATATTTCCTGTGATTACAAATCATGTTAATGAGCATTATCATTATTATGCTTCTTTACCATTGTGATTGATTTGGGCTGTTTGCTGAGCTGAACCCTCCATTGTGCTGACATGATCGCTTCCTCGCACACAGAGAGTGCTCTCTGGGAAGGATGATGAAATTTTGGTGTACCAGCAGATGATCCGTGACCTGAGAGAAAAGCTGCGTTCAGCCCAGTTGGACCTGGACAAAAGCAACATCATTGCCTTGCAGCAGGTCTGAGGAAATAATCCCCCTTGTCTATACTTATCTGACTTCTCATCTTCTGTCACTGAGGTGCTCAGAAAGTGGGTCATTATTTTGTCATGATAGTGCATGTGTCTGTCTGTTTGTGTTCACATTTTGTGAACACACAAACTCAAGCATTGTGCATGGAAAAAAACATTTCTTCCTGAGGTTCTCTGTTTACTGTACATGATGTAGTCCGATTTTGCTGCACCTTGTGCTACAAATGTGCTTAAAGATACTATAAATTCACTTGAACATAGAATTGATATTTATTCCACCTGACATTTCAGTCACAAAGGCTTTTAACTGTCAGAGTGCTCCAGGTATAATTATACTAGACCTTCTAAAAAAAAATCCTAATTGCAGTGGGCAAGTTATTTTGTGTGTGCCTTTATTTGTGTTTGGACTAGGGGAATACTAACTTGGAGCTGGTTATCATTTTATGTTCTTCCATCTAGCCCTAAGTTTTTCTGCTTTCTGCATTCTCTCTTTGTCTTGTCATATTTTATCAGCCTTTCCTCCTTTCCATCTCTATCGCTTCCCTGGCCCAGGTCATATATATGAGCTCTGTGGTGTAAGTTTCATCTGTCATGGGCCTCTTCAACCTCCCCTGTTTTCATTTCATAAATATTCCTAATAATGGATGATGAAAGTGCTTATGAAATTCAGTGTGCTACAGCTGTGCTCAGTTTTGAGCATACATTCTCATTATTTTAAATTGCTGCCCAATGCCTTAAAGTCTGTCCGGGAGAAAGACAATCAAATCAAGATGCTGAGTGAGCAGGTGGAGCAGTATACAGGGGAAATGGAGAAACACACTCTGCTCATTGATGAGCTAAAGACATCTACAAAGAAAGACAGAGGTAGGTTGGTCTCTGTTTAATATTCCTTCCTATTTCCTGAACTGCAACCATTTGTAGTTATAATAGAGAGTCAAAGAATTTCTTTCAAGTGTAATTTCCTGCTTTTTTCTTATTTATATCACCATAAAGTGAATATATTTGGGTTTTGGTGTTGGTCAGAGTTTTAAGATACTGCCTTAAGTTAATTTTAAGACTAAATGATGAATCAATTAATTGATCAAATACTTGACCATGAAAATATTCAGTAGTTATGAAAGGTACAGAAATTACTAGTATCATTGCACAGGTTTAGTAAAGTAACGTGCAGGGAGATATATATTTTCACAACTTGCATGAAACTGATTATGCGGATTGTTTTCAGCGATAAAGCTGAATAAATGATATTTTTCTCAGGAAAACAGACCAAAACAGACCTACTAGAGTAAATATTGGACTTTCATGATTGAGCTGTCAGAAACATGACTCCAAATTAATGCTAATGTTGCTTCGTGCTGCAGGATGAAGACAATCATCATTCGATAAATAATCGATAAATGCTGCTTTAATAGCATGAGTACATGGCATCTTATGAGTTATTGCGGCTTTTAACAAATTCTGTGGCTGTTAAATGCAGGTGAACTTGAGTTCAGTGTGTAGGTTCTTGTGCTTGTGATGAGGTGAACTAAAGAAACTGGCAAATAAATTCTGATATCCTTCAATCACCAAATGGCCACTTGGTCTGCAGGTAAAGATATTATTTCCTTTTTTTTTTATCCAAGGCCTACCATCGAGCATACAGCAGAAAAAGATGGAAGAGCTGAAATCAAAGCTGGAAGCTGCAGAGACCAGAGCAGTGGAAGCAGAGCAGGCGCTAAAGCTTGCAGAAGATCATGCTGAGGAAAAAGACAAAGCACTCATTGAGGCTTCAAACCGCTTGAGCCAGTACGAGTCTGTAAGTCAACAAATGCCCTTTCTTTCCCATTTATAACTTTTGGCTTGCGTCAGACATTTTCTTTTTCAATCCAATCAAATAAATTCAGAGGCTTTTTTTCCCCCTGGTCATCCTCACTTTTAATAGAGACACTGAAATGACTGTGACTATGGTGTGATCAGCATTCTAAAAGCTAAATGTTTGCCCTTCATCATATCTAATCGCATCCCGATTTACCCAAAAAGTGTAGAAGTTGGAAGCGAGGAAATAAAGCAAGTGATGGTTTGTGATGCATGTTTACCACAGTTGTGTTTCTGTATTACAGGGCGTTTATGGCTTGGAATCAGCCATTGCGGAGATCAAAGAGTGTAAAAATCAAATTAGAATGAGAGATCGTGAGGCAGAGGCCACAACCAAAGAGATCAACCAGCTCGAAATGAGAATCAATGACCTCATGGATGAAAACGATGATTTCCGAGAAAAACTAGGTCAGATTTTTTACTTTACTGTTCCCTTCTTCAAGTCTGCTCTGACAACAGTGAAATTAATTTTACTTTAGTCTATTTCTGGCTTTTTTCATGACTGCATAGGTCTGGAACCAAAGCAGGAAGTGGATCTGACAGAGTTCAGGCGAGTCAAAGAGCTCAGGCAGCGCCAGTACAAAGCAGAAAACCAAGTCCTTACCAAAGAGGTGAATTGAAATTACAAAGGTTACAGTAGCTGCTTTTATAACAGTGGCGAGCTCCTCCCATCTTTCTGTTTTATTTCTTGCCAGATTGAACGGCTTGAAGAGGAAAGACTAGAGCTGAAGAAACAAATCAGGCGCCTGGTGAAGGAAAGAGGTGACACACAAATTATGAAGCTAAAGAACACGCTGATGGTTGAAGTAACAGTTTTACCATGTTTTCCACCTGAAGGGTAAACTCAACGGGAGCACTTAAATCAAAATCAAATCAAATTGTATTTGTATAGCGCCAAATCACAACAAAAGTCATCTCAGGACACTTTACAAAGTAAGGTCTAGACCTTGCTGTTATCACTATTATTACATAGGGAAAACCCAACAAATCCCCCTTGAGCAAGCACTTGGTGACAGTGGGGAGGAAGAAACCTCCGACAGACCCCGGCTCTTGGTGGGCGGCCTTCTGCCTCGACCGGTTGGGGGGAGTGGATAGAGGAGAGAGAAAAGAAGAAAAGCAACCAGACACAACAAACAATCAAACACTGGTCAGGTTGATGTGGCCGCTGACTTCAGGTTTACTTCAGGGTGTTTTCATTTGTATCAGTGGTGATATCTAACAAAACTCAGGGATGATTTAATTTGTGTTCAAGCATTGGCACCAGGGATGAGACAGTATATCCAAATTCAATATATCGTTATACAAAAACATCACAATATGTATTGTTTTGCCTAGCAATATATATATATATATTGTGCCATTCTGTATACTGGGAATGCAGATACTGTATGTTAATCAACAAGTGCTTGATACAGATATTTCAAAATCTGGGCAAATAAAACCAGAAAGATCTGCAAAATGATTGAGATGGTTAGTGGTCAGTAAAAATGTTTTTCTTTTTAGTCAGTATTTAACTTACTGGCTTACTGTGTTTTCACCACTTTACTATTTTATAAGTGTTAAGCAGACAGACGAGTGTGTAATATCAACGTGCTGTTTCTGACGTCTTGGTAACAATCAGCTGATTCTGTAGGGAACCCACAGTTGCTGCTGGAGGAAGACTTCAGGCCCAGCAGAACTGTGCCACTTGAACAAAGCCGCGCTTTTACGGATGATGCAGTCAGACGCACGGTAAGCTCCTGGCTGAGGACGTCATTTCACACGTTTAATCAGAGCCCAGTTTTTGGAAGAACAGTGAGTCCCTGAATAATCCACACATTTAAATACTTTCAAGCTTCGATCACCATTACTACCTACAGCACCATGTTTTTGTAATTCATACAGCAAACAATGTGTCTTGTCTTCGTTTATGTTATCATTACTTATTCAGACTGGCCTGGTTTGTGAAAGAAAGAAACTCCCTTCTCTAGAGAACCTAAGTATTCCAATGCTCATGCAAAACAAGAGAAGGCAAAACACACACATGCATCATAATTTGAGAGAGTTAGGGGTGAGGAATTGAAGTCTTGAACTGATGTCATATATCCAAATACTTATTAAATTATTTACCTGTCAGTAGGATAGCTTGAAATAAAACAGTTACAGGGATGTTTACAGAACATACAATACATTTAGTGTGTGTGTGTATAAAATAGTATATATAGTTGAGGCACAGATTCAACAAACTGAAATAATTTGATTGCAAAAGTCAGTAGTGAAAGGTTTGAAAGACAGGAAGACCTCAGAGGAGGGAAACTGGAAGAACATTCACAAAACAAACTGACAGTAAGTCAGATAATCAGTGAGTGAGACGTTAAGTCAGCTACATCAGATGTGTTTTTCTTTTACTGTGAAAGTGCGTCTCAGTAGGATCATCTTTGGTTGATATGTGAAACAGAAAAAATAATTTGTTGTTGCCAAATATGAGAAAAGAATAAAGAGCTGTATCTGGTTTGGTGCCAGTACACTTGGTGCAGTACATATTGCACCTGAGGTTGACAGCTTTAACATTGTCATTTTAACCTTTTCAGTGATTTAACTTGTTTTTGCAGAATCAGTACCTAGAAAAAGAACTGAGCAAAAAGGAGAGGGAGCTGGAAGTTCAAAAGACCCAGTTTCAGGTCACATGTAAGTGCGGCCTTCATTTGCAGAGTTCATATGAACATTTTCACAGTTGAGTCAGTTCTATGAGCTGTAGCTTTTGTTTTGTTGTTAATTTAAATGCCAGAGATTATGTATAGAGGAGATCATCATTATAACATTTTCCAAGTGAATGAAACATCTCAGAGGCTGTGGCCTAACTAATATTGTTCTGTTCTATGTGTTAACTCCCAGTGGAAGAACTGTCCAAAGGGAAAAGAGATCTGGAGACTGCACTGAGAGATGCCCTTCAGGTTATGAAGATTAATCATGATGTCACTTCATCTGATGCTGCCATCAATGTTTCCAATCTGGAGAGGTTGGCTAATGTAAGTATCTCCCATTCATGAAATTAGGTGTTCAGCTGATTAGTGTAAAGTGTAACTTAGATCCACAGCATGTGCCTTTAACTTTATCAGTCTTAAGTGTTTTGTTTTTGCTACTATGACTTAGTCAATGTTGGAAGTCACTTTGTTAATGTACAAACAAACCAACAACACACATGTTAAGAAATTTACTGGAAATTAGTTTCCCATGGTTTTTTAAAAGGAGAATGAGGTGAATGTGGATCCACTGGCTTATTTTTCAAAAAGCACTTGGGATAGGTTTTTGCTGCTACAGGAAGTTCTGTGTTTTTTAGACTCCTGGCTTAAAAACAAACAAACAAAAAAACAATAAATGTATCACTTTTATCACTAGATGTAGGTCTAATTGTGAGCAAAATAATAAAGATTGCACAGCTGCAGTTTTTCTTCATTTAGTCCTTTCCTGTGGATCTCTTTTTCCCTATTATGCCGTGTACTGTAAATCACCTCTCAGTAAATTGGCTGATTTTTACTTAGATTTGAGGATTTCAACATAACATGTTGGTAATACCTAATTAAGTAGCAGAGTAAAACTTGGTTTTGTTCAGCTGTCAAGGCAGTCAGTGTGTTTTCACTGTCTGTCTTTGCAACACAGCATTCTTGTTTTCCTTTTCTTGTATTTGTGCATTGAACTGTGGCACTGAAAACAGTTCTTCCTGGACATGGCACACTCTGTGCTGCGGGAAAAACAAAGTGTACTTCTCTAAATTTAGGATCCTGGTAGTTTTTATCATCATCAAAGGTCTTATGGGTTTTGGCAGATCTCTTTCTGGCACTTTACTTGTACCACCTGCTTTGTATCATCTTGTCATCTTCTGTTCTGATCAAATCAACATCCCTTGTTACATTACCTTGACAGTTCACTGAAAACTAAAGCCTGTTTTGTTGCCTTGTCCCTTAATGTGTGGTCTATAATATTATGAGAACATACATGTATTTAATTTAAAGCATTTCAATGTGAAGATGAGTGTCACAAGATGAGCACTTGTGACACTAGTAGTCGATGTATATCCTCAGTCATATCCAGCCGTGTGAATGCAGTGTTCACCACAGTCTCAGTTTGTGCAGTGTTTTTACAGTTAGATTTGATGTGCTGAAAACAATGGGCATACTCACATTTCGGTGTTTTCTGTCAGGTGATGAAGCAGAGGGCCTGTCTCATAGCAACTTAATAAACTTAACAACTTAAAATAAAAGTTGAGGGTAGTTGAACGTTTGGTGGGTCCAGCATAAGGTAAACCAATGGCAAGTGAAGAAGATTGTTTGTTTGGCCTTGACGTCACCCTGCTGGGCTCAGCATCAGACATGTTCAGCACAACAGGAAGTTGCAGGAAGTACCAGGTGCAAGCCACATGCTAAATGAAAAACAGTTGTAACTAGTAGTATTAACATAATCTTTACTGTCAGTGCTGTGATTTTGAACAACAGAGTACATTTATTTTCTGGACAGTAAGTGTTAGCAGATGTTAAATCTAGGAGGTGAATGTGCTGGTGGAGCTGTGACACTGACCGACAACACTGTCAGTGTCACACTGGTTTGATAAACTGGGTTAGGTATTCATAATCCAATGGGTTTTGGATTTGTTTTAATGGCATTTGAACTGTGCTCATCCGTTTATTACAGGCTATAGATGTCAAAAACATCAGTGGGCAGCCTGAGTCACCCCTACACCTCATGTCCCAAATACATCAGCTGGTGGGGAGAAATGAAGAGCTGAGGCAGGAACTGAAATCAGCCCGCGAGGAAGCAACCAGCAGCTTCAGTCAACTTGCCAGAGCCAAAGAAAAGGTACATCCACATTGTATTGTGTCAAGATAAAGAGATGATGACAGACTACATGATGGTGTTTTAATCATAACACATCAGCTTTTGTCTCTAGTCATTTTGACATGCTCTCCGTCTCTGAGAGTAATCAGCATGACTGGAACATTGGCCAATTAGTCTCCTCTGTTTTTAATGCATGTTGATTCTGTTTCATATAACAAAAGAAAGGAGGTAATCAAACTGGTGTGTCAACGTTTTGGCTCACATTTAGCTTCAGCATTCAAACTGATGCACCTCTGACAAATAAAAAGCCCTGTTTTATATCAAAGCCTTTGCACAAAACTCACCTTGAAGTTCTCCAGCTTTTTCTTTTTGTCTTTTTATGGCTTTTCATTCGCCGCTTTGGTTCATTGTGGCCTTTGGGAGGGTTGTACATTTTATTTTAATTTATGTATGTTCAGTATAGGTTTGCAGTCAAGACCTTGTTGTATTGTGGCTTTTTCATCTACTAGCCATCTTGGCTAGTGAGTCAAAAAATAAATTTTGGACCCTGCTGGTATCTGACCTTAAGTGAATGGCAGACACACACAGTCACAGTTTAATTGATGCTGTCCTGTTGTTAAACATTGTTCTGAATGTGCCTCTGGCACCAGAAACAAAAAGGGGACATTTTTACTGACACTGTCTTTATTAAGAAAAATGGGTGTGGCTGCCAAGGCTGTGCTTGTAATTTTCCTCATCTGTACCTGTCAGGTGAGCCAACTGGAGAGTGAATTGGACGTGCTCAGGAAGTCTGGCAGCAGTGGAGTTGTTCTCCGACCTCTGACCCTTCCTGAGGGCCTGGGGCCCAGCGGCACTGAGGTCATCAGCTCTCTAAATGAGTACACTGTTCGACTTCTTCAGGTGAGTGTCGCTGTCTTCTAACATGGAAATAACTGTAACAGCATGTCTTAACAATAAATTAAACATAATATATGAATTATTTAGGAGCTCAAAAATGAGGAGGAAAAAAGCAAGAAACTTGTAGGAACACTGGAGGACTACAAAGAGAAATTTGCTGTTATTAGCCACCAACAGGGGCTGCTCTACAAAGAATACCTAAGGTAGATTAACAGTAAAGTTTCTCACAGCTTGCAGATGGTTTGTAAACTTAAGTTCAGTTCATTTTCATTGTGTGTTTTTATTGTTCAGCGAGAAGGCGAATTGGCAAAAGGAGAAAGAGACATTTACCGAGATGAAGAACAAGCTGGAGGAGCAAAAGCAGGTGGATGCTGTTAAAATCCAAGAGTTCGATGTAAGTCAGACCACATTGCTTGGTTATCTGTTATGTACAGCTCTCTTCAGATTGATCCACAGGTTTTCTCCCAAAACTCATAGATCCATGTTACTGCAAGTCTGTGTGACTTCTTCCTCCAACTCGATACATTTGAAACTCACATATGGGGAACAGATGACTGTTTGGCATTTAAAGATTGCCTCTCTACAATAAAGACCAGGGTTTTTAACCTCTGGTGTTTGCACATGTTAGTGTAAGATTCAACATGTGAAACTCCCCCTCTCCTCAGTGCTTTTTACAAATTGATAAAGGATCAATCAGCAAATATGAGATGCATATAAAAAGCATGTCATAATAAATTAAGTAAATATTCAGCCAAATTAAAGTTTTAATAGATGTACTGTTTTGTGTCATTCCTTTCATCCTGAGTTTACCCCCAGCATTTCATTAAGAATCAAACGATTATAGCACTTTCCATTCTTTCAGGAGCTGCTGGACACCCTTCAGAAGAATCCAGAGGAAGTCAGGAGGCAGTTGAGCGAAGCGTTGCGCAAGTTGACGGTGCTGAAAGTTAATGAGAAGAAACTAACACTGCGCTACACCACCCTGTTGGAGCAGGAACAGCTCCTCCAAAAGGAGAACTGCAAGCTAAGAGATGAGAGCAGCCAGATGCAGTGCTCTGTCACCCAGAGGATGGGCTACCTGCAGAGATACAAGGTACACAGACATGAAAAGTCGAACAAACTTCTTAAATGGCTGAAGTAGAAGAACTCAATATCAACTAGAGGCTTTCTGTTTTCTACTTGCCTGGATAAAAAGTGACACAAGCTTGTGTGTTTTTTCAGCCGTGGAAAATGGACCAAGCAACAGTACAGAGAAACAAGAGAAAGATGTGCAAGGGTAGTAGAAGTATAAATAAAAAGCCAGTGAAAAAACTTTTGGCTCCAACCAAAAGTAAACACAGAAGTCTGTTCTCTAAAAATTCTGTAGCTATAAGCAACAGAGGCCGAAGTGTGAGAATACTACTTCCCTTTTAATGGCTCTGTTTTTTTGTTTTGTCTTTAGGAAATGGCTGCATACAAGACAGCAGCACTGCAGAAGGCCTTGGATGATAGTGTGCCATCATCAGACCTGGAAAAAGCTAACAAGCAGTACACAGAGCTAACAGTCAAATACAGAGACATGCTGCAGCGGGATAGCCGCCTCGTACAGAGAACCACCAACCTTGAACATTTGGAGGTATTAAAAACATTAACTGGCCAAGTATTTGCATGACACCTCAAATACATAAACCTTCACTTTTGGCTGTTTGCTCGACACATTTTAACATATGTTAAATGTTGTTTTCCTGGTCTCCAGAGTGAGAATCACTCTCTCCGAGAGCAAATCTCCACCATAAATAAAGAATTGGAAATCACAAAGGAGAAACTAAATACTTTGGAACAAGCTTGGGAGAATGTCACTTCAACTGGTAAATGAAGGATAACGCTCATGATTAACACACATGATTTAAGAGACTTCTACACAGTGGAACTTGTTAGTAGAGGACATGATCCCCATTTGACATCACAGCCTTATGTCATTGAAAATGTCCTGGAAAATTATTTCTTGAAAAGAGTGGAAACCCTGTTAATATACTCCACACACGGACAGGTGCCATTCTAACAAGATAATCAGTGTTTTTCATTTCACCTGTCAGTGGTCATAATATTATGGCTGATCGGTGTTGCTCAGCACAGCATACACAGACTGACTGGGCCATTGCAGGAAAAGTTCAGTCTTTTACAAGCTGAAGTTCTGGCCAGTTTTCTTATCATCAGAACATTTACACAGACGTGGTGGCAGCACTAGATATAGCCCAGGGCAAAGGCTTCCCAAGACCTGCCTTGTAAGCTTCCTTCCTGAACTTTAATGTACTTTGCAGTGTTGCAAAATTTAGGCATGTTTACCTTCATTTGATTTGAGCTCTGGCTCATCACATTTGTGTCTTGGCAATAAGTATGGCCAATAAAATGTATAAATAAAATAAAATAACCAACAGGAATGTTGGCCAGAACTACGACATGTAACAAACTCTGTAAGGGTGAGCTGTTTCATTTATACTAAGAATATGTTACTGCTGCAATGATGCAGTGCAGTAAACCAGAACTCTATTTAATCCTAGTCTGTGGATCACTTAATATTAGATTCTCATCTCAAATTGTGTTTTTTATTTTTTCTCCTTGACATCAGGAGGTGAAAATAGCATGGATAAGGCCAGCAAAGCATTGGTGAACAGTGAGATGGTATCTACTGCCAAACGAATCACCACTCTAGAGATGAAGGAGCTGAATGAGAGGCAGAGAGCTGAGCATGCTCACATAATGTATGAACACATGAGGAACTCCCTCCAGCAGGTGGAAGAGCGCAACTTAGAACTGGAGTCCAAATTTGCAGAAGTAAGAGGGCTTTTTTTTGTCTGTCACACACTTGAGGTGTTTTGTTACTCAGGTCAAAGGTCAAAGTGTTTATTTGTAATATGCACAGTTAGGAACGTGTCTCCCTGTACAATGAAATTCTTACTTTGCTGTCCACATGAATGCCACACAATACAAGTGAAATATAAAGTAGATGAGCAATAACACATCTAAATAGGCAGTAAACACAAATCTAAGGCACTTTAAAGCAAAGGCATCCACGTGATTGTTTTTAATCAGCTGATGTAAAAGGCCATTTAGTTTACTGGGTAGAAAAAGTCTTATAATAAAGAACCAAATTCATAACAATTTAGGACACTTTTCCCCAAAGTCTTCATCAAAAGAATCTGTGCTTTCCTTAGTTAACAAAGATAAATGTCGAGGCCCAGAGGGTGGAGCGCGAGCTGAGAGATGAGCTGGCAAACAGCATCAGCAAGACTGTGAGCGACACTGACAGAGCCAGGATTGCAGAGTTGGAGAGGACTGAGGCCGAGCTTCACATCGAGGTCTCTAGGTACAGCTGGCTGAATAAAGGCCTGAGATTAATCATTTACATTCTAACGTTGTCTCACTTCGGAACTAAATTATACAGTACAAAGACTAATGTTCTGGAGGTCACAGCTGTTCAGTCAAGAGTTATTCTGTTAATAAAAGTGTCAAATAGATGTAATATATAAGCTTGTCCTGGTCACAATGGGAAAATAGAAGAGCAGTTTCCATGGGAAAATATTTGGTTTATCACAGCTAAAGTTCTGATTTGATATAAACAGTGGTTTAATGGGTTCTCATTTAACAGTAGGGTCAAGTAAAACTGAATGATCAAAATATTTTTTAAAAGTGATCATTTTGGTCTTCTGTTGTTACTAGTACTAGATTACCAGATTACCAGCAACTAAACTAATACTTAGCCATTCCACAGATTTTTAACATGCTAATTATAATTTACTTGTGTGTTTTAGTTTTACTGAATTTGCACAAAAAGGCTAACAGTACTCATCTGTTTTGGTATCTGTATCTGAAAGTAGTTAAATATTTGGTTATTCTGTTATGCATGAGTTTTTTTTTTTTTTCTTTTAGTCTTGTCATTTTTGGGTACCGACTTTCATCTCGCACTAATAATGATAGAAATACTGATATTTCTACTACCATTTTACAATTTTAAAAGTGTACATAATATGTGTGCATATGTTTTTTTTTTAACAGGCTTCAAGAGGTGTCTGATGTGGCCATGATGCAGGCATCTGCTCTACAGGCCAGACAACAGTCCAAAGAGAAGGAAGTAGAAGCTTTGAGGAGACAAATACTGGACTACCAGGTAATTAGGTGTTGATTTTTTTTTTTTTAAACTTCTTAAAGTATATTGAACCTAGGAATCATAAACTTTCTCTGTTCAGTACATTATAATATTTTACCATTGCCTTTTTAAGTCTGAAGCTTTTATAAGTCTGGGGGCCTGATAGACAATGAACATCCGATACAGTTAAAGTAAATGGGATTTCATTCCAACTGATCATATTTGGCACTTGATGCAGAGTGAGAACCCATCAAATTAGATACTTACAGTAACTGCACTTCTGTCGCAGTTATCTACTGACAGATGAAGAGATATTAATTATTGTTTGTAGTATGTTACACTGGTGGCGCAGTGATTATCGCTGTCAGCTCACAGCCCTTTTGAGACTATCACAGTGCAGGTGCATTTATACGGAGACTTGATTACACACAGGTGGATTCTATTTATCATCCTTTGTCATTTAGGTCAACATTGGATCATTCAGAGATCCTCACTGAACTTCTGGAGAGAGTTTGCTGCACTGAAAGTAAAGGGGCTGAATAATTTTGCACGCCCAATTTTTCAGTTTTTTATTTGTTAAAAACGTTTGAAATATCCAATAAATTTCGTTCCACTTCATGATTGTGTCCCACTTGTTGTTGATTCTTCACAAAAAATTACAGTTTTATATCTTTATGTTTGAAGCCTGAAATGTGGCAAAAGGTCGCAAAGTTCAAGGGGGCCGAATACTTTCGCAAGGCACTGTATCTACTGACAGATGAAGAGATATTAATTATTGTTTGTAGTATGTTACACTGGTGGCGCAGTGATTATCGCTGTCACCTCACAGCCTTTCTGTGTGGAGCCTGCATGTTCTCCCTGTGTGGGTTCTCTCCGGGTACTCCAGCTTCCTCCCACAGTCCAAAGACATGCAGCTTAGGCTGACTGGCGACTCTAAACTGCCCGTAGGAGTAGTTGTCTGTGTCAGCTCTGTGACAGACTAGCGACCTGTCCAGGGTGGACTTCGCCTCTCACCAGGTGTCAGCTGGGATTGGCTCCAGCCCCCCTGTGACCCTTGTCAGGATAAGTTCTATAGAAATAGATGGATGTTACACTGGTTGTGTATAATAGCAAGCTGGGTGAAATAGTTTTAAGCATGTCCTCACAATGTCATCTCTTTTCCTTAGTCGCAGTCCGATGAGAAGGCCCTTATTGCAAAGCTCCACCAGCACATTGTGGCTCTGCAGCTCAGTGAGTCGACTGCTTTGGCTAAGATGGAGGCTGCCACATCACACATCCAACAGCTGGAGGCCTACAGGCTGCGTGCTGAACAGCGGCTGGATGCCAGTGAGCGCGCTCTGTTCCTCACTCGTCAGGAGGGCAGAAATCGCTCCAAGCATCTACGGCAGACCATCCAGTCACTTCGTAGGCAGTTTGCTGGAGCGCTGCCACTTCAGCAGCAGGAAAAGTTCTCTCTGACTATGATGAGTCTCCAGGAGGACAGAGCAAAAGCCCAGGTGGAGAAGAGGAAGGCAGAGGAAGAGAGGAGAAGGGCAGAGGGCAGGGCAGAGGAGCTGGCTCTGAGACTGCAAGGACTGGAGGAGCTCATCTCAACACTGAAGGATGTGAAAGGCGCCCAAAAGGTCATTCTTGATGACTATCAGATAAAAATGTTAAGAATAGTGAAATAACTTTTAGGCTGCAATTGCTGAAAACAGCTCCACTGTATATAAATTTAAGCAGGTAATTGAGTGGCACAAGAAGATGGAAGAAGCTCGTCTACAAGAGCTACGGAAAGGCAGGGAGCTGGTGGTCCAGAAGGAGGAGATCAGGTACCTAAAAAACCTGGTGGAAGAGCAGGAGCGAACCATCCGCTCGCTGGAGGAGGATTTTGTGCAGCAAAACATGGTGAGTGTGAAACTCTTGGAGTTGTCTGTATACATTCTCAGAAATTAGCTAATGTGCAGGTCTCAAATTCATAAATTTGTCATTGTTTTTAAAATGAATAGACAAACACTTCTGGCCTGACTCATTTACAAAGAATGGAGAAAAGTGTAGCTATGAACACATCACAGTTTTAACCACCTCACTTGTCAAGGAGCTTTTACGTCAGTACAGAAATGTGTCAGTAGTTCTTTAGTGTGCAAGGTAATGCAGAAAACTCTTTCCTTTACTATGTCAAGCTTCAGGAAGAACGTCAGCTAGCATGGGATCAGCGAGAGGTGGAGCTGGAGCGCCAGCTGGACCAGTATGAGAAGCACCAGAATGAAATTGTGACCAGTGCAGAAAAGGTGAACTATTGTTTAGAGTAGTCGATGATGAAATGGCTCAAATTTAAAGCATTTCAGGATTTAAATTTGATCAAGGTTCAGGTTTGAGTTTAATATTAAATTAATTATATATTGAATAATGCACAATTAACTACATTTTGCACAACTGTTTGTGAAACCTGCTAATGACTATACTTTGGTTGTTTTCAGTTTGAAGAAGGAACTGGCTCCCTACCAGACCCGAGTCTACCACTTGCTCATCAGTTAGAGTTTGCTTTGGGTAAAATCAGAGAGCATGTCCGCACAATTTTGGACACAAAGGCCACCTGTAAAAGTTTGGATGAGGTACAGTATTTAGTCCCTCTTCATATACTGTATGTTTCCTTTAAATCAGTTGCATACCAGATTGTGTGAGTCTCCTTCATATGCAGAAGGTGAAAGAGAAAGAAGCAGCTCTGTGGAAGGCAGAACAGAACATCGTGTCCAGGGACAAAGTGATCAATGAGCTGCGTCTTCGGCTCCCAGCGGCTGCTAACAGAGAACGCCTGCTAGCTGACCTTGCCAAGCATGAAGAGGGCCAGTCAGACAGCCAGTCTGCCCTCAAGCTAGCTCACCAGACCATCAAAGACCTCCAAGGTCGACTTGACAAAAAAGAAGACGTGCTAAAGAAATACCAGAACCAGTTGTCTCAAGCCAGACAGGTACAGTGACAGAAGGAGAAATTCTGGGCATCCAGTTATTCTTTATGCAACAAGTTTCTCTTTTAAACTCTTCTGTAATCGTTGATATTTTTAAATAGGAGTTTACCTGTTTAAGCCTTGAACAGTTATTTAAATGAAAGTGTGTGAGATATTAGAATGCACCTGAAATGTGAGAGGGGACTTAAATAGACACTTGCTTTTTTGTAAGTGGTCAGAAGCCAAAACACGATGGGAACCACTGGTTTGATCTTTAAAGGTTTATTGTATTGATAAATTTGTCATAGTGTGTGTTTTTATGTCAAATCTTAAGAGGAAATTAATATAGCTACACAATTCTAGTGGAGTTAAAATCACAATATCTACCTTGAAGTGTTGTGGAGTCATTATAAAGAAAAAGTTAAAAAAATACAGTAATATACAAAATTATACTTAAAGAAGTAATTGTTTAAATAAAAGAAGGTAAACATTTTATATCTGAGGTGTTTTTCTGTTTTATTTAAAAAAAACCCATCTCAACTGATTGCAGGATCAAGAGGAGATGATAAAGAGACACCAGCAGGAGCTGAGAATGTTGTATCAGAAGCTGGACTTGCACACTGATGCCTCCCTGGACCACTTCAGACAGGCAGCAATGGTACAGATATATCCATGTCTCTTTTTGGGAGCTGCTCTTTTTATACTTAAAAAAAAAAAAACTAACTTTGACTTCTTGGGCTAACACCCATGTCCACATACAATAGCATAGCAGCAGACCAGCAACAGCAGCTCCCATGCTTCATCTTCACTTCTCACTGGAAAAGCCCTAGTTAATGACTATGAGCCAGGGCTAAAGCAGCTTAGCAGAATATACTTAAGTCCCAGATTGTATTTGTAAGCATACTGTATGTTATCTACTATTTCACACTAACAGTAATTTACAGTTGCTCGATGGTAAACATCCAATTATCCAAGCGTAAATTTGAAGAAGTTCTTCTATGAGTTGACGCAGTGTTGAATTCTTTGTTCAATGCTCCCCTCCTTTCTTTGTCCAGGGACTAATGAAGAAGTCCACGATCAGAGTACCAACCTCCAAGCATCTAGGCCGTGTGGCTGAGTTAGAGGAGACTGTGGCTGAACAGGACATCTCACTGTCCTCCGTCACAGAGAAGCTAAAGCTGGCCACTGCTGAGCTGGAGCGACAGAGGAGCGCCATGGAAACGCAGGCTAAGAAACATGCAGACCAGATATCAAAGTGATTATTATTTACACTTAGTCTACACCATATAGCACCAGCGATGAAATGGAACACGCTGATCCTATCAGGCCATGTGGAATAAGATCAGTTTAAGGAAACTGGGTGTTAAGAGGTTAAAAGTTGAATAAAAAGCAGCTAAAGCAAAGCTGATTAACAGCAGTGCATTGGGACTTTGCTGCTTCAGTCACTTGAGAATATACCCAGTGACCTGAGTGGCAGTGGACTAAGTATTTAAAATACTTTTCAAATATAATGCAGTACTATTCAACACCACCGCAAGCCGTGTTCAGGTGTGTTAGGTTTATATAGGTAGCTAAGTGTACCTACTAAACTGTCAGCTCAGTAGCTCATTGGTTTTATATTTCATCGCAGCAAAAATCTGGCATCTTTCTGGAGCTCACTGCTGATTGGACAAAGATAATTTTAACAGAAAGCTAAATAGAAATCAAAGTCATTTAAGTGTGGTCCAACTCTTTTTAGCCAGCCAGGTTGAATGTGTTTACCTGGCAGAAAAATGGATATTAAAATTACCTACCAGACAGAGAGGCAGAAATATCACCTGTCTGAACAAAGCCTCTGCCTCAATGTACAGTTTTAGATGGTGGATATATTTACCAAAGGTTCAGCTTTACACCAGTCTTACTTTGAGTAAACTTGGCCTTTCTCTCTGAGTGAAGTTGTAGGCTTGTATTAATTGTTCTCCGCTAGCTCCAGGCTAACGTTTGGATTAAGTGCATTCTACTGTATGTGATTTTCATTAATGCTACTCTTGACTACATCTACTGCATACCACATTAACTACTGACACACGTTGGACAGGTTTTGTGCTATACAGAGTCTGTCGTAATAACCTGGAGCAAGTCAAAAATACTTTTACACCTCTGTGAGATATGGATTAAGAGAAATATTAATTTAGTAACTCTAGTTAACACAATATGTTTATTATGTGTGTTTTTTTCCAGGCTGGAAGAGTATCATGCTGCCCAGGTGAAGGCTTTGACTGGTGAGACTGAGGATCAGAGGAACCAGATGGTCCAGATGGAGAAGGAGATGAACTACCTACAAACAGAGCTGGAGGCCCAGAAGGTGGCCAACGTCCGCTCCCCCAGCAACACCATGAAAAATCTGCTGGAACGACTCAAAACACAGCTCACCCAGAAAGAGAAACAGCTCAAGGTAGTTCTTTTCATCTAACATTATTTTTATGTTTTTTGTGGCCTGAGATATTTTTATGAGCACCATAAAGTGGTTTGGCCTCTTGCCTTGCAAAACAGATGAAATGCTGCCAATAGCCAGATGTTCATGCCAAGTTGACCACTTCCTAAAAATAAATCTCAAGTGAGCGTCTCTGTGTTGGCTGTGATAGACTGGCAGCCTGACCTGGACGGTTTTGTATTGTCAACTGCTGTAGTTTATGCTGCTACTAAAACTTGGAAAAAACATTACTTTTCAGCCTTTTAGTTCTGTGATGATGCATAATAATTTTTGGTCAGAACTACAGCCAAGTATCAAATTTATTCCAAGAGTGAGTGTGGGAGAGAGGCGGCAGTGTTTGCACACAAAGATGTTAACAGTAATGTGAGGTCTGACCACTGATTTCTCATATGTCATAACGCATTTCTTTGGTCCCTGTTTTCTCAGGCTCTGAGTAAAGCTCTTCTGGAGCTGCGGGCTGAGATGACATCTGCTGCAGAGCAACAAGTCATAGCTAGCACCGCACAAAAGGAAGAAAGCCTCAATGTACAGATGTTGGTTGACAGACACACTAAAGAGCTAAAGGTGAGACTACTACAGTATATAATCACAACATACTTGTTTCAGTGCTGACAGTTATACATTCTGTAACTGTGGAGCTAATTAACATTTGGAAAGCTTAGTAAGATAACTAAGATTCCACAAAAATCTTTTCCATAGAATAGAAAAAAAATCCATAAAGTAACAGAAATAGTATCCTCTACTCATGATACTTATTAGTACCAGTTCTTTAATGGATTTGGACTTTTCATGGGATTTGTTGGCAATAAGAAAAATGTACAGTATGACCTAACTTATCATTTAAATTGAAAAGGCCTTAAATCCCTTTTCTCCAAAGGTGCGGGTGCAAGGACTTAATGAAGAACTTCAAGCTGCAAAAGATTCTGTCAGAGCAGCCAGAGGGCGTGAGAACACCCTGAAAGAGGAAGTGGACAGCCTGAAACAGGAGCTCCAGAGGACTGAGAAAGCCCTGAAACGCTTGCAGGCTGAAAAGGAGGACAGGGAGCATGAAATCCAGGAGCTCAAGCAGCAAACCAAGAGGCTCAGCAGTGCCCTTCAGGTTGGGATCTCTAGGGAGTGTGGAATAACACACTAGGCACTGATTTATGAGGAGGCATGCAGCTTGGCTTGACTTTGATCTGGAGCCTATTGTTGTCTCTGATGCTCAACAACAGCTACATGACACAGCCAATAACAGCATAACATTATCAACATCAGTTGACCAGAATCTTCTGCCTCAGGCAAGACCTCGAAATTTGATAAACAATGCAATACAAGTCACGCAGTCCCATCGAGGCACATCGCATTTCAAAAAATTGAGGAATGCACCAAAAATAGAATCTCACATTTTTCTAAGATTTAAGATAAATTCCTCCAGCGGTTATCAGAGTTAATTTAATAATTCAGACATTCTTATGGATAAGTGCTACCTCAGAGTCCCAGATTAGTCTGAGGACTGTAGTTACATATGCTTCTCTTGTATCTTTAATAATGCCACGTGTTGTGATCCTAGCCTTTGTGGGATGCCCGTAAGGACCACAGTCATTCTCTGCTGTAGCCTGCTGAGAAAATTAAAGTTTCTGTGAAAATCTTTTTCTCTGGATTTGACATTTAGAATCAAGCAGAAACGGATGGAACAGCCCCAAGCATTGAGAATCTGCAGAAGAAGATCAGGAGGCTGGAGTCTGATTTAGAGAAAAGAGCAGAAGTGAGAAATGTCAGAGATGATTACGGAAAGGTTTGACCATCATTGTAGTCAACATTGACCACTTTCTGTTACTGCTATTTTACTGAAGTATCATTGTTATAAGCATTATATTCTTGTTTGGTCGATGTATGACTTATGTGTCAGACTAAAGAGGAAGTCGTGCGGTGGGAGGAAGGTAAGAAATGGCAGACCAGGATGGAGAAGGTGAAGAATTCACTGAAGGATAAGGAACGAGAGAATGAGTCCCTGTCGAAACAACTCAGCACTCTTAAAGATCTCTACGGCAGGTCAGTGTGGGCATGATCATCATCAGCTGTTTTTGTTTCTTCATCGTGCTCTTTTTTGTACATGACAGTTTGCAAACGTCCAAGTATAGCATGATGTCAGTGAAGTACACAGAATACAGCTCTTTATCCAGCGTTAGGTCATAGAAGTGTGACTGGACTACTGTTGTGACCATGATGACAAGGAGTGCAAGTTATTATTGAGTTATTATGAATGAAGTTATTTTCATTATTGATTCATCTGATTTTTTTTTTTTTATTGTTTAGTTTACAGGATGAAAACTTTATTCTTTGAACTCCTGGTTTTAGCTGACCAACACTCCAAAACCCAAAACATATTCAGTTTCATGTCTTGTAAGAGCAGCAATCCTCAGATCTGAGAATCTGGAAAAAACAGAGCAACGTTTCTTTTGTTTTCCAGGGTGTCAGCTGTCATCAAACCCCTTTTACCATTCTGTGTTTTATTGTGCATGCAGACTGGAGCAAGACAAGAGTGCACTGCAGAAGAAGCTGAAGGCCCGAGGTGTGACTGCTGATCAGGTGGTGGGGTTGCGAGCCACTGAAATGGAGAAGGAACTGGAGGAGCTGAGGAAAAAGAACTCTGATCTGGAGATGCAGATCCTCACCATAAAGTATCTAAGATTCTAAATTCCCTGATTTTAGTGTCTTTGGCTTGTTTTAGTGTCATGATGATTCAGTTTCCCCCGTTATATTCTCACAATACACAGTTTCTAACCTTTTAGTTGCCCCTGAGAAAACACAAACTAGCTGAGATTCCAGCGGAGTTCTGTTGAATTCAAGTTGGCCGGCAGTTCTCACAAAATCCCTCTCCTGCCCAGCTTTTCATTCAGTATTTAGGCATACAGACTTGCATTCATAGTGCCATCTATAAATGCCATCTCCCCTTCACCTTTTGCACTCATGCAGCTTCACATCAGCACATCTCCATGTTTCGTTGTCGGCACTGTAGAGTCACTGGTGTATTTTGGTTCCATCTGACTGAAGAATGCGATGTCAATATTCAAAATGCTTTTCATGTTTTCATTTGGAAAAGTTTCAAGTTCAATTTTGTGAGCAGCTGTTGTTTTACATATGCCAACATAATAATAATAATAATGATAAATGGTATTTGTATCAGGCAAAAGATGCTCTTTTATCATGTATAAATTCTATGAAAATTAATCCATAAATTCTTGGAGCTGAGGTTTACTGTAGAGCCATATAATCCAGACACAGACCATATTTTTTTGCTGGACTTGCAGACAGCACCAGGCTTTACCACGTGATGACGCCATGGAGAATCTAACGCTGAGAAACCGCTACCTGGAGGAGCAAGTACACACCTTAGAGAGCCAAATATCAAAAGAGCCTCCGTCAAGACCCTCTGTAAGTGAACCTCATAATACATTAATGTGCTGGAATTCATCAGAACTGGTCACAGTAGCTTACAGAATAATGTTAGTACATGATGAAGATAGAAAACACTTAATTGGGTAAACGGTGTGTATATTCAAGAAGTTACAGTTGGTTGTAGTATTAATCCACCTGCACCTGGAAGATCTCGGTGTGTCAGTGTTGTTGTAAAACTTAGAACAAAGGAACACTCCTCGTAACACGGCGACAGTGGGATTGACAAACCAAGCTGTTTGAAGATGTATCTTTGAAAAGCTGCAGTGGATATGTCTCTGTTTTTTGCCTTTGCATAGACTAAACAATCCATTAATTGAAAAATGCTGATATATTTTCCAGATATGACACTACCTCATGGATTGCACTAGACAGTCAGCGGTGCACATCACAACACTTTCACCGCTCTGTGTCCCTGTTCTAGTTTAACAAGTCAGATGTTTTTCTTTTACTCTATCTCTGTTCATCATTCTTTGACCTTTTTTGATGTCTCTCTCTTTTCATTGGATTTATTCTGATTGGTCGCATGGGAAGGTAAAAAGCTGCTCCTCCCAGAATCTGAGAGGGATTTGTTCTGTTGCCTTTGATATTGTGGATGGACCATGTGCAGGGAACGCTGTGCCTCATCCTCCTGAATCCTCCAGCTGCTCTGCCAGCCCTGGAGCTGCTAAAGACCCTGCTTACCATCTGAGGAGGCCAAAGCAAAGCCAGACAGAGAAACTCAAACAACCTTTGATGAAGCAAAGGACGTTTGCACTGAACCAGACCGATCGAGCACTGGTGTGGCAGAAAACGCACATGTGAGAGAAGAACATGCTGATGCTGAGCATGTTGAAGAAGATGAGATGCAAACAGATGCAGATCAATTAGAACAGCGGTTTCAGACTCAATCGCACAGGGGGCCAAAACAGGATAAACATTTATTGAACAGACTAAAACTAGATGTTTTTTGAACATAAATATGAATCGAACAGGATACAATATTATTCCAAAATAAATAAACTTGAACTTAAAATCAGCAACCGTATTTCTGCTAAGGCTTAGTACATTTGCAAACACCTGCTTTTTGTCTGGACACCAGACGTTGCACACTTTCATCATGCAGCTCTTCAGAAACTCTCCCTCGGTAAATGTC